AAAGAAGGGCAGACAAGAAACATGCACCATCTCGCATCAGCTGCACACTATTCTCGACTCCTGATAGCACTAGACCTTCTTTGTCCCTACAAAAGGCTTCACAGTTGAACTCAGAATAAACAGGGATTTGTTGAAGACTGCATGTCAAAATATCCTGATATGTCTTTAGTCTCAATAAAGCAGGGCTGCACCCTGCTTAGAAGTGTAGAAGATCATCTGCGCCAACAATTACCAGTAACCATTATAAAACTTCATGGAATGCTATTTCATTTACCTACAACACTGTTTTTCACCAACCAGCTTTAGGGCCAAATCTCAGTTCAATAGACAAGTAGGATTTACAGAGCTAGACAGAACTTAAGCCCCTTTGTGTTTCTTTCAACTCATAATTCCATAGTACTATCCTGGCAAAACAATCCATAAATCCGGTTTTATGGCAGCAGCAACAGCATAAAACACTATATTCACAAGTAAGTCACTCTACAAGCCAAGAGCTATTCTCAGTACGCAGGGTGGTTCTGTTCAAAGCTACAGAGAAATGACAGTTCTGAAGCTTTATTGACAGAAAAGACAGCCAGTCCATGAATCTTCTGTTTCCAGCCAGCTGTCAGCCGCAGATGTGTTTGGGTTGTGATGGAAAGCAATGAAAACCCACATGGATATGAAGAAAAAAAGTTCTCTCAGAAAATTTGGAGTAGGAAGGTAGATGTTCTGAAATAACAAACCTTGCAAAGAACCTGGCTTCAGCAACTCATTGGCTTGGAGCAATCACCATTCACAAATATTTGTGTAGGTGTTTTCTTGGCATGGTATTTATCTTTGAACAAGATATGCTCTAAGACTACATACCATCAAGCTCTTTTGGTCCTCCTTTCACACTAAGGAAAGACTGTGCCTGTCTCTGTATACACACTACTTTACTCCCAGGCTTTTACATGAGGTAAATCAATTATTTATTTTGTCTGAGAAACCTGAGTGCAGAACAGCAGATAGGAGATACCACACATATGAGCCACTCCAGTGTCCTCAGGGATGAGGGTTCTTTCCCTGACCCAAGAACAGTAAAACGAGGTTAGGCTTAACTGCATTTGTCTAGCAGTTAGAATTTGAACACGCTACTGATATGACAACCCGTGAACTCAGGGTGTAAAGATCTTCACCTTGTCTTTGCACACAGACATGAGAACCAGGTGTAACCAGGGTGACATCTGAAAGCCACCTGGCTCTCAGGAGCTTGACTGTTTGCTCAGAAACAAGAAATAAAAATTACCCTCAAACCCAAATAGGTTTATACAAAATAGGTTTGTCCCAAATAGGATTGCTTTCATAGGAGTCAGAGTTGGCTCAATGAGAAAACTCTTGGCTAACCCATCAGGCCTGTCTGGATTTTCAAAAATCTCTGACATTACAAATTTTGTTACATTACAGATTTTGTATGTGTCAGACCACAAACCCATTCTACATATATGTATTTAAAGCCTGGAACATTGTGCTCCTTGGAAAACCTTGCTGTTCAACCTCCCTCACTGTAAAGTACTTTTAATACCTTGGGGGGGGAGGGGTGTTAGTTATCATTGCATTAGAGGCATAAGTGTCTTATGTCATGTAACTTAAGTGTTATTATCTCTCTCAAAATAAAAAGCAATGAAAAAAACATAACCCTAAGCAGCTACCATGTAAATACAAACTTACCACTCATTAATTGCTGTTGGCAACACCCACAGTAAGCAATTATTTTCTTACATGAAGTAGAGACTTCCCATATTCTAACTGCTGTTCATTGCTCCTTCTCTTTCTGCTACACTTCTCTAAGAGCAGACTGGATCTTTTTTTCAACCTTCCCATTTGGTCCTTGTAGACAGCAGTTCCTAGCCTAACCATTTATCTAAAAGGCCAATTAAAATTCTGGTTAAGTCAAACCTTCTTCATCACCCTCTCTCACCAATGAAATACATCTTCCAAACTATGTATTTCAGCCCATCCCTGGGACTATTTTTCTTCACTTTGCACAGGCCTCCAAAACTGACAAAAATTTCCAGAAGGTAAAGCTTTGATGTTGATACATTCCTTTTTATATGCCAAAAGGGCACTTTCCTGTAGACCAGCTGATGTTAGTCTTTCCTATAAAATACACCACAAACAAGCTGATCTAGATAGTTTAGCACATTACAATTTTATGTGCTGGGCAACAGTTCAAGTTAAGAATTAAACAGAGAACCCTAAGGCAGTCAGATAATATTTGTCATAATAAACATATCATTTGTCATTTAATGCTGCAAGATGCCCAAGGTAATAAGGAAACTCACAGGATCTCCTCAGGTTTGGCTTTGGGTTTTTTTTTCCCCCACCTTTTCCCTATATTAATTTCAGATTTCATATTTACATACTGTACTTACTCATCTCTGCCACAGCAGATCCTAAGTTCCAGCCACACATTTTGCAGGCTCCTTGGCATCACCTGCTGTTATGACCGTTTTAGATTCCATGCAATGCTGCACTGATTTCTACCACATGAAGGCACCCAAACTCCAGAGAATTCTTTTGATCTTTTCAAACAACCAAAAGTGTTGTCACTGTTGCTATTTAGTATCATTGCTATACAAGCTCAATAAGAATGAACGGTGTGCAGCTGCAGCAAAGAAAACCAGCAGGATGCTGGGTTACCTCAACAAGAACATCACCAACAGAGATATAGATGTTATTGTCCCATCTAGTCAGTGCTTGTCAGGCCACACGTGGAATACTGTGTTCAGTTTTGGTCCCCACCATACAAAAAAAGATGTGGACAGGCTGGAGAGGGTCCATAAAGATACAACTCTCATAGTTAGTCTGAAATACCTTTTACAAGAATAGGCAAAATCAATCACAGAGGGAAAAAAAAAAACAACAAACCAGCAAATTTCACATCTACATCAAATGGTATAAGTGTTACACATAAATTCTAAGAGACCCAAGATCATTAGACACTGAACAGAAGCAAATAACATACCTGTTCCTTCACACAGTGGCTGTAGAAGTTAATAAAATGATGCTTGCAGCTACAGTAGCTGGCTGTCTCCTGTTGCCTCAATTCTTAAGCAGCATTTATTCCCATTGCTCATTTGCATAATTTTAATCCTCTATTATGCTCACTAATGTAATTTTTGTACATTTGCTATCATATTCTGGGTTTTAATAAACTGGTCTTCTCAAGCCTCTTATCATGTTTCTTTATTCCCTGAACCTACCTTAAATCCTGCGATGCCAAGCAATTTGTTTCTATAATCCTCCTCACGCAGCTTCATTAAAACCTCAATCTGTGGAACTAACATTACCAGTGTTAAACTAAAATCTCCACATGTGGAGATCCTTGCACTGGTCCTACTGAGAATCCCACTAAATCCAAACCACGTCAGGGATTTGTTCTGACTTCAAACAAGATCTATCAAAGTCTCTGATGTCATCCTCTAGATCAATGCCAAAAATCACTGTTTGTGCCTGGCTCCTTCAGAACACGGTTCTATGCAGATCTGAACACAGGCTGTAGAAATGCCTTAATAAAGTTTTTAACAACACAATTCCACACTATCAATTTATGCACTTCTTCCTGCTAATAAATGGACAGAATTACTGGCACCATAAACCAGAAATGATGCAAAAAAGAGGTCTACTAAAATGTTTTAAGCATGGGCAACAACCTAGCTTTTAAAAATGAGGAAGCCAGAATCTTTTTTCCCCCTCCCCGAAGCCATCTTTCAGGCTTAGGTGGAAACCTCCATGCAATATCCCTAAAACCTATTTGCACATAACATTTAAGAAGAGGACCATGTCAAGAGTGGGGTGAACACATCTAAAGTCTGAATTTTCCATGGAATGTCACAAGGGCATACACGACAGCCACCTTTAGCTTTCCTTCTGCATGGAGTTATGACTTGGCTATCTAAGCAGCAACATTAAAAGAACATTTGTGAGGCCTGGATAGTCCCAAAAGCTAGATGTCTTACTGCTGCCAGAATATCTGACATTAACTCCATGGTTTAAATGAGTAAACATTCCTCATTTTCTGCTTTTAGAAAGCCCTATTTTCTCTGCACCCAGAATTGACCACACGAAAACCTCTGCAGGGCACCTGGGAGCCACTTGAAATCTCCCCTGCACCCACAAAGGCCACAGCCACACACAAAGACCATGCAAATGCAAAAAATTGGCCACCACACTTCACTGCAGCCCGATGAAGTCAAGCACACCCCTGCTCTCACATGTGCTGTGAGTGAACACTCCCATCTGCCTCCATTGCTTACTCACAGCCTGTGTAGATGTATATTCTTTATTCCACAGCTCCATAGTTGAGGAAAAGCCCATTCCTTTAGTTTTTTCTTCTCACTCTCTCCTGGGTTCAGCAGTAGCAATCATTTTTCTCCTTCTTAGTAGCTGGTGCAGCACTGTGTTTTTGACTTTCATCCTGGGAACAGCGCTGATAACACCGATGTTTTTAGTTGCTGCTCAAATGTTTACTCTGACCAAGGACTTTCTGAGTCTCATGCTCTGCCAGGGAGGAGGGAAGCCAGGAGGAAGTAGAGACAGGACACCTGACCCAAACTGACCAAAGAGGTATTCCATACCACAGCACATCATGCCCACTATATAAACTGGAGGCAGTTATCCGGAAGGGCTAGATCACTGCTCGGGTGGGGCTGGGTATTGGTCAGTGGGTGGTGAGCGGTTGTATTCTCTTCCCTTGTTATTTCCCTTATCATTATTGATGGCAGCAGTAGTGATTTCTGTTATACCTTAGTTACTGGGCTGTTCTTATCTCAACCCATGGGGGTTACATTCTTTCAGTTCTCCTCCCCATCCCTCTAGGAGCCAGGGGAGGAAAGGGGAAAGTGAGCAAGTGGCTGGGTGGTTCTGGGTTACCAGCTGGGCTTAAACTATGACACACCCCACCTGCACTAAGCACCCCACAGCTGATATAAGCCCAGTAGGGGGAAATGGAAATAAAATGATAAAGCTGCAGGAGCATGGGGAGCCAAAGAGTGCATGTCTGCTGCGTGCTTTCCAGCACATTTACCTCAGGAAGAGCATCCCAGGTGAAAAGGACCAAGGACAATGTGGAAGCAAACCACAGTAAGCCAGTGCAAAGGCTATTTCCACCCCTTTGTGAGACAGAAAGGCGAAGCTGGCTTTAACAAATGAATTAAGTGGGGACGAAGGCAGCACCTTCCTTGTCCGCCCCTCGCAGAGCCCGCAGAGAGCCCTCGGGCTCGAGACACCACCCCTTCCCACTGCACGGCCTCAGCCAATCAGCGCAAAGATGACAGCGCCAGCTTCGGTTTGTTTTCCTTTAAGCCCGCCTCTGCCTCGCTGCCCGCCAATCAGAATGCACCATAGTGAAGCCGTCGGGAGGGCTTTCCACGCATCCGGCGCGCGACAATTTTCCATTGGAGGAAGGGAGGCAAGGGCTCAGCCAATGAAATAGCGCAGCCAGCGGGAGGGTACAGTTCAAACCGGTAGCTGCTCGGGAGAGACGCCATGGTGAAGCTGGTGAGGCTGGGGGCCGTGGCCGGACCGGGATCCCCCAGCGCTGCCTCAGCCGAGGGGGGAGCCTCGGCCCCCAGGTGAACTCCTCCCTCTCCTCCAGCCACAGGCCTGCGCAGTGTTGGTGGGTGACTTTGATTCCTCTGATGAAGACGATGCTGAGGAGGACACGAAGCCGTTACTTATTTCCTGGTGAGACGTACCCTGAGGCGGGGGCCGGTGTCTTTTCCCTCAGAAGCTCTACAGGAGTTATCGTAAAATCCCTGTCTTGCAAAACGGAAAGGCTTTTTCCTGACGGAAACACCTGCCGGGCTCTGGTGCCCTCTCAGAGCAAGGACGGAGGTTGTAGTTGCCAGGATAGTGCCCCTGACAAGGGATTAAGTTGATGCTGCTGCAGAGAAACAAAAATAGCAGCCTTTCAGTACCTAAAGGGTGCCTGCCAGAAAGCTCGAGAGAGGCTTTTGCCAAGGGCATGTGGTGATAGGACAAGGGAGAATGGCTTTAAACTGACAGAGGGCAGATTTAGATGAGTTATTAAGAAGTTCTTCCCTGTGAGGGTGGTGAGGCGCTGGCACAGGGTGTCCAGAGAAGCTGTGGCTGCCCCATCCCTGGCAGTGTTCAAGGCCAGGCTGGACAGGGCTTGAAGCAACCTGGACTGGTGGAAGATATCCCTGCCTGTGTCGGGGGGGGCTGGAACTGGGTGAGCTTGAAGGTCCCTTCCAACCTAGACCACTCTGTGATTCTATGATGTGGGGCCAGCTCCACTTTGGAAGCATTTACCAGTCACTGTCAGTCTATGTACCTACCTATATAGGATAAGTGTAGTCTATTCTACCTACCTGTATAGGCAGGTATTTCTATTCAAATAATAAAACGTTCTCATTTTTATCTTATTTCCTGGCAGGTTGTCTTTGCCTCCTGTCTACCCTTCTGAGTTCCTGGGATTATGTTCCCTTCCAGGTAAGAAGCATTCACTGAAATTTGCAGGCCTATTTGAAGCTGAAGAGAGGCAATAACTTGTACCCCACAATTCTGTGTTGCATTTACCCCGTGCAGTGAGTTGCTTTGTAATCTACCACTGGAATAATTGTTTCAGAAACACTGAAGCTAATTTAGATGAAAGATAATATGGCAGAGTGGTAAGAGAATAGTGAAGAGGGAGAATTTTTATGTGATTTGTGCTGAGTATTACAGAACAGGGAACTTACTTTCCTGTTAGTCAACTAGACAATCTTAAGTGATCTCTATCCAGCTTTTTTTTTTTTTTTTTGGTTGTTTTGTGAGGCTTCTATATTTTATTTTATTTTCATAGTTGTACCTAGATTTATAACGTCCAAAACTTTTCATCTGGAAAATGCATAGCAGCTTAAAACCTTGGACAGATGTTTTCAATCTTATCACATTACAGTATTAAGCAGATAATGGTGCTTAAACTGACTTCTGCACTAGTGATCTATTTGCAAAAATAAGAACTGTGTTTTACTTGGAGTGTGGCTTTGTTCTTTGGTTTGCGGAGGAGGTTGTGTGTGCTCTGTTCTTCATCTGTAGCAGCTATTCCATAAATGTCATTTACCCACAGTGGTAATTGTCACTCATCATTTGTTTTAGGTTGCAGGTTTAAAGGTATTAGAAGAAATCTTCAGAAAGATATAGGTGAGTCTTCTGGCCAGCGTGTAAGTACCTCTCATCTCCATGTAACAGCAAGAAAAATGTGCAGGTAAACTGAAAGCATAAGTTACTAGTTTTACTTTGTCTTTGTCTGGATACTGCTGGAGTTGCTGTTCATCTAATCTGGGCATAAGGATCCAGACACCTGATATCTAAACCAGTGGTGTTTTACTGATGCTTTTACAATGGTTGCTATAGTTGTCCATGTACGTGCCATGATATTGCATGAATGCAAGGTAGTTATTTACAAAGTCTTACTGGGGGTATGTACAACAGCAGTGTCTGTCTGACTTTTAGTAACACTGCTTGAAGGTACAGCAAATATGTTAGCACAGTCACTGTTGTGAGTACTAGACATAATTGTAAAGTGTGCAGTGCCACTTTTTCTGTGGCTTCTCTACCAAATACTGAATAGTCAGGGTGTTTCCAGGCTGGAGCTAAATAGGCATCTGTGTATCTTTCAGAGTAACCATGAGGTCTGCTAAGTCATGTGCAGGAGACAGTATCTTCAAAGCAGATAGGGTCAAGATAAATTACAAACTTGTAATCTCTTCTTCCCAGAGAAAAGTGAGATTGGGACTGAAAAAATGAAATTATGCAAAGATTTGTGCTGGATATTAATCTATAGACACTAGAAGAGCAGAAAGTAATAGCAAAACAAAATAGCAGCCCTCTAATACTTAAAAGGGGCTTGTAAGAAAGCTGAAGAGGGACTTTTGACAAAGGCATGTAGTGATAGGACAAGGGGGAATTGCTTTGACCCGACAGAGGGGAGATTTAGATTAGATATTAGGAAGTTCTTCACTATGAGGGTGGTGAGGCCCTGGCACAGGTTGCCCAGAGAAACTGTAACTGCCCATCCCTGGCAGTGTTCAAGGCCAGATTGGAAGGGCCTTGGAGCAACCTGGTCTAATTGAAGGCATCCCTGCCTGCATCAAGAGGGTTGGATGATCTTTAAAGTCCCTTCTAACCCAAACCATTCTGTGATTCTAAGATTCAAAACACCATAGTGTTTGGACACAGCCTCAGCTGGAGACAAGACAGAATCATGCTTAAGCTAGCAGCAGTAACAGACTGTTCCAAATGGCAACATGCCTTCTAGTTAGGCTTGTCTCAACTCTTACTCTGAACTGAAAAAATTCCTGTCATGGCTTACCTGAAAGCAAATGTGGGAGAGACTCAGTAGAAGTAAACGCTGCTCAAAGCAAAGTTGCTGACTTCTGTTGGCTTAATCTCAAAGATTAAGCAAGAGAATCAGTACCAAGTAGCTTATCTGTTTATCCTTGAGCTTGACAGGCTTTTGTTTATTTGCAAGTGTCTTAATCTGTTTGCAGAAGAACTAAAGAGCTGTGGTACCCAGGATATATTTGTGCTCTGTACCAGAGGAGAGCTCTTAAAATACCGAGTACCAAACCTAATGGATGCCTACCAACAGCATGGGATCTGTGTGCACCACTATCCTATTCCAGATGGGGATGCTCCTGACATTGCAAAGTGCTGCAAAATCCTGGAAGAACTCAGAAGCTGCCTGGAAAGTAACAGGAAAACAATCATACAGTAGGTTCTGGTTGCCTCTCTTTCACCCCACATTATGTAAAAGATACCAGCTTCTCTCTAGATGTGTGACCAGCTGAAACAGAATCCTCTCAAACAGTTGCATTCTTTAGGGTTAGTTCAAGCTGTGAAAAACTGCTTGTTTCTTCTCATGCACCTTTTTGAGCTATTTTGCCGTTTGTAAGATTTGAATCTCTGTTTTCCTCTTAACTCTGTTCAGTAAGCCCTTCAAAGCGTGTGTTGGATGACACCATGTTTCTCATTGCTGCTAGCCTAGCTGGGTGCGCAATGGATACAATATGAGTTGTAAACTAAAGCAGCTGTTTCAGAGGATACCACACGTCTGAGCTATTTAACATGGACTCTGAGGGTTCCAGCAGTGCAAAATTCACTCTTAAATTGTATGACACTCATGTAAAGTTATTTCTTTGGACACCTGTAGCTGAACTCGGAGTAGAGGGGAAGAGCTTTCCAAGTTCTGTGCATGACCCTGCTGACAGCTCTCACACTTATATCAATGGAGTCCTTGGGCTCCCTGCTGATGCAGAACCCTGCTCACAGCTATTGTCCAAGCTTTAATGTGGAGTAGGAATGAAAGAAAATTGAGGGTGTCCATCTTCTTGCTGTTTTGTGGCTTCCTGTGCCATTGAGACTATCCCCATCAACAAAGGGGAATGTTAAAACCACAGTTTCTCTAGAAAAATGCTACTTAAGGGAGGTCTGAAGAATAAATGGAGATAGTCTTGTAGGTATTTCTGTAGACATGCCTATTCTGACTTTGTTGCACCACTGCTCCTCTTGATTATATTGAGACAAGAATTATCTATGAATTATGGGGGCTGTGTGTGTTGCAGTGTACTACTTGTTACAACCAAATGTCTTCTTCTCTTTCAGCTGTTATGGTGGCCTTGGACGCTCATGTCTCAGTAAGCAGTTGTTTTCCCTCAATGCCTGACTAACCCATCTTAAAAACTTATTCTTGTGAGACAGCTCTGTCTAAAGTAGCCAAATTCTGCTTGAAGCTTGCCTGTTGGTTACATTACAAACCGTGGCTACAGGTAGCAGGCTAGTTAATATATTTGGGCTCATTTTTTGTGAAAGGTGCTATCAAATGGTAGTAACATTAGCTGCCTGTATAGAAACCCTTGGGGATGAGTGACATAAGTATTTCATGCTATAGACCTGAGTTTGTAGGTGAGGAGGGTCAGGCAGGGTCAGTTGTTCAGTGAGGCTGACTGAAAGTTCTCTCATATTTTCTGACTTTCCATTTTCGCTGCAAATTTTACTGTTCTCTGACTGATGGGATTGCACTTTTCCCTGAACATTTCTTCAAGAAAAGGAGATAACCCTATTCCTCTGCATCTTTCCTCAGTGCAATATTTCCCCTAAAGTTTTCAGGGTCATTAGTTCACCAAATGTGATCAGAAGACACAAAGGGGAATTAACTGTGTGTACTGTGATTGTTGAAGAGCTTAGGATTTGCATCCCAAATGCTGCTGGAAAAGCAGGGGGGAAACAGTGGGAGGGTTTTCACCAATTTCCTGCAGGCTTAGGCAGGAGCACCAAGTGAGCAAGGCCAGTGTCAAGAAACACCATTCAGCAAAAGATCCAACAGATCTGTGACCCTGGTGTGCCAAGGTTGAGTTTTGCTAGAGTGGTTTTCATGGAACAAACCATGCAGAAGTGGTGCAGTGCACAGTGGGAAGTGCTCAGTAGCATGTGTGTGTCTGTACCTTTCTCTTACAGTAGCTGGGTGTCTCCTGCTTCAGCTTTCGGATGCTCTGGCACCTCAGCAAGTGATTGACAGCCTCAGAAACCTGAGAGGATCTGGGGCGATACAGACCATCAAGGTAATGGAGCTAGAGCAGGCAATGCATGTGCTGAAATTAGAGTGGAGAACTTGCACAATCCTCCCCTTCACAAAGGGATCCCTGTTTGAGAGACTCCACAGCTGATGCCCCTGCTGCTCCCCAGGGTTCAGCTACTTCTAGGTTTCTGCTTCCATGCTGATTCTGTCTTGGTCTGTCCCTGCTGAATTCACCAGCTGTTCTGCCTGTCTGCTCATCATTAGTAAGTTTCTGCTTTCTTCTTATCCCTGCTCATAACTCAATTATTCTCTCTTTCTCTGTTTCTCACATTCTGTTCACAACTTGGACACCTTTGATTTTTCTGCCTTGGTTTTGTTCCATTCTCCTAACCCAGCCATGTTCATCTCCTGTAGCTATCGCATCAACCTACTGGCAGGTTTTTTTAAGAAGTATCTCTAGCATTAGTGGTGAAACGTACATGAACAGAGGCCTAAGTTACTGAGCATAATGGGTTTTACTACTTTTGGTGGGATTTTCAGCTACTCTATACATTTTTCTGTTGATAGGAGTCCTAGAGGTAATGCTCTTAACATACTTCTGTGTACAAGAAAGAGGATCTGATGTTTTAAGAGTTTACAAGATGGTAGTTTCTGAAGATAAAGACTTGCCTAAAGACTGTCTCTATTAGCTCTAAGCCTTTCTGGAAGGCAGGTCTTGTTTAAACTACTCATTGAAAACCATTTTTCCACAACCTAAGAGGCAGGTGGGGAGCAGCTTGTGTCCTTGACTGAAGAGAAACCCTCACAGACACTTGGGTCAGGTGATCTGTCCTTCAGCTTCTGCTGAGCAGTGGTTTTATTTCACTTTGAACTCGTAACTTTTTTGAGCATATGATGTGTGAGTTGACCTAAGAACTCTCACTACAAACTGTTGTACGTGATACTTAGCTGTGTTCCACATCAAGGACTCATTATGGAAAGACTAATATTCTTGCTGACCCAATTAAAGCAGCTTTGAATTCTGACATGAAACTCCCACCTATGAGGCCATGGTTTATGTTGCCTTGAGCTCATGTGTGGCCTTTATGAGGAACCACAGGATCCAAGCCAAGATCCATGTACCTTCTGTCTGATGGTGAAAAATCACAGAGTATTTGGAGTCAGCACAAGAAGAATAAATAAATGGACTAGAGGGTGCAGTTTTCATCCTGGGATATCAAACAGCTTTTTAAGATGGGTACTGCCTCTTCTGAGCACTCACTGTAAATCTGGTTGTGCTTTTTCAGCAATACAATTACCTCCATGACTTCCGAGAGAACCTGGCTGCACATCTGGTGACAAAGAATACAACACCAAGATCGGTGTCGCGGTAACTAATCCCAGTGTGGTGTGTCTTTGTGTCTACATGGCTGCAGCAGGCTGACACTTGGGCAAGACACCTCACCTCGCTCCTGACCTTTACAGTCTCCTCTTTGGTACTGCATGTATGACACAGCTGCTTGCTTCCAAATCTGTGTGTAAAGCTTTGGGGTGTGGGGGAAGGAAGTCTTACAGGACATTCAGTATCTTCCTCTATTTGGTAGTTTTTAATACGCATGGCCTTAAAAACACATGGGAGTGTACTTGTGTTCATTGCTGTTCTGCTGGTGGCCTACATGCCTCATCTCATGCACTTCTTTATAATAATGACTTTTGCACAATGTCTTCACTTTTACCATCATTTGATACCAGCCACACACATCTGCTGCCATTGAACTGGTACACTGATGTTTTCATATTGAGGTCCAAAGGGGTGCTTCCAAAGGGTGTACTTTCCAAGCAGAAGAGATGCTAGGCTAGCAAACTAGCGACTACATTTCAGTTTGATTTCATTTCCACTTCACATACTGTGAGAATTGGGACAAGCTATTGGATGTGAACGTAGGATCTGTGAGAAAACAGAATAGCCTGTACCTCCTCACAGCTATGTACAGGCTTCTGGTGCCAACAGGCTGGCTTTTACTGCAGTGTGTCAGGGAGAGAAAAGGAAAGGAAGTGAAGGGTAAGTCCTCTGCTGCCTTTGTAAGAGTGTCATGCTGGGGTAATGTAGCTAGATAAAAATTACACTGGGGCTGTTTAAGAAAAATCCCTTGGCTCTAGCTTTAAACCGAATGAAAGTCAAGTATGAAAAGTTTCCTGCTGGAGTGCTTGCTCCTCTCAACTAGTAAGAGCTCATTCTGAAACATTACAGTTCTGCTCTTGGTGTGTTCAGTGCTACTTAGGAATGAGACCCCTCATTCCCAAAGGAGGTTTAGTACTGAAGATCTGCGACAAACCAAGCAGGTGGGGTTTTACATGAATGTGGTAGGAAGAGCTGCTGCCCTGTAGCTGTGTGAGTTTCTGGTACTGCATTTCTGCATACTAATGCTAGACAAAGTAAACAAACAGCTGTAGGCTGAAGAGAGCTTCACAGAAAGATTCCTGTAATGGTCCACATCCCTTCTTTTTAACTATCTCCACTTGTAAAGATCAGGGAAGATGAACAGGCTCCTGAACAAAACATTTAAATTAGTTGTGTTCCATCCTGAGGAAGCAACAAGCATCTGGGTATCCTGTGACGCCCTATGAGGTAAGTTTTGGCTCCAGGAAACACACTGTCTTCCGCTATTAGACAAACGAGCGGTGTCAAGAACTGTTGCCTGTGGGCTGAAGTCAGTGGTGTGTCAGCATACCAACTATCCACCTGTTTCCCTGCAGTGCCTTTTTCCTTGCTGAGTGCTTCAGGAAACAGCTGGTTCCCTGCCCCACACCAGCCCCTTCCTGTGCTCCCCAAACCTGCAGCCAGCACTTCCCTATAGCCACAGCAACTCAAGCATTCACAGGTCATTTTGATGCAGTTTTGGTAACTCCAAGTCAGAAGTTGTGCCCTGAGACTCTGACACAGCACCAGTGGCTGTGAGTTGAAGCAGATCTTGCAGCTTTGTGAGTTTTAAAATTCACCACGCTCCATTAACACATTGCTTGAACCCAGACACTTCAACACACGCTTAAAGGCAATTTCTATGGATAGTATTTAATTAGCTCTTACTGCCATTCCCTTCTCTACCCCTAAAGCAGACAACAGGAACTTGTAGTTTTCACAGCGTGGAATCACTTACAGAAAATACTTTGCTGTAAATGCACATTGTTCCTCCCCCAACACTGCTCCCAGCACACAAACAGCAACACAGAAAAAGCATCTGTGTTCCTTCTTCAGTGACTGATCCTTGCAACTGATGGTTTTCAGAGTAGGTATCAGATGGCGTTTTAAGACCACTCAGCAGGAAACTTGCTGACTGGGAGAGAAATGTTATTTTCTTCATATCTCTCCCCTCCTGGAGCCCCAAAGATCAATTATCATCAGGTCTGCAGTTTGGACACAAAACAGCTGGTTCTCTGGCTGCACAGCACATGTAGGTATCCACAGGTACCAGTGGCTTTCACAAGGCACCAGGTACAGATGACCATGTTCATGCCACCCAGCAGCTGGGGGTGCTGGTAGACACCAATTCTAAAGTGTACAGAAATCAAGTTTCAAGACTGTTTTCTAAGGACCCCACCATCATGCTGTGTTCTCATAGGACTTTTTAACTCCTCGTATTTCTGACCTTTCCCTGTGACGTTCTGACACTTTAAAGACCTTTGAACTGAGATTAAATACCTCAGTTCTGTGTTGAACCACAGTGGGCAGAGCAGGGCAGGCTACAAATGAGCATTTTGCTCCTGCGGTTAATGGTGATTTCAGGCTCACCGGCACAATTGTGCTGCCAAACCACTGTGCCATTCCCACCTCTTGAATTCCCTTGTTCAGGAATAGTCAGAGGTGTTTTTACATTAGATGTGGAAGCCGGTCATTGCTGAAACAGTGCAAGTGTTGCAAGCACTTGGTTAAATATTCCTGGGCAAAGCCTCCAAGCTGGAGTGGGGGTTCAGAAGCAGCTATGAGCTGGATGCAGTACATCTACATCTCTTACTCTGGAGCATAACTTGCCTTACATTAGCCCAGTATGAAGGGAATGAGAGGCAGCTGAGGGTTTGTGAGCCAATCAGTCCCATTTCTATAACAGACTAATAAAGATTTGAACATAAGAAGGGATTAATGAGCTTTGCTGCTGCATTAAAGCAGTCTGAAGGAGCTAAAGCAACAGAATAAAAGTGATGCACCAGGAACAGTATTCCCAGGTTTCTAAAAAGCCTTTCAAAAATTCTGCTGAAAGCTCAAAGTCATGATTCATAAGGAATAAAATCCTCACCAACTAACAACTGACAGAAAAGGATTTGGGAATAGGAGTTGAGGAGGCACAGAAAACACCAGCCCTGGCATTAATGCCTGTGACTGGCACAAATGTTTTGGGACAGTGATGATAATAAAATTACACATTGTCACACTGAATGCTTGAGCAGGGATGGTGTGGGAAGCAAAGTGTGAGTAAGTGCAACCAGGAAACACATGTGAGAAAAACAATTTTATATATGTAGTAATAAGGTGCCAGGTGTCTATTATTACTTAAGAAAGAGAATTTGCAGTTATCACAACTTGAATTCTCATACCCCCAGTACTTTATAGTAAGAGGAGAGGAATTCAGAAGCAGCAAGCAGGAAGTTGCATTGCAATTCCCTGGACAGCCACACTTTGTGTGATGACAACAGCTTAGAAATGGAAAATCTGCAAAGGACGGCCAGTTAACAAAGCTGAAGAAGGACTTCCAACAGAGGAGAGGTTAAATGGGCTTCTCCGCTTGGACAGATGATGTGATGAAGGTGTATTCAATCGTGCCCAGCATAAATAAGGTAGCAAGAGGGAAATTTTCAGTACGTTTTAAAAAAATAAGAGGTATGTGGGACCAGATGAAGTGCAGCAGAACTTTTAAGCAGGTACTTTTTACATACAGAGTAATTCCACTGCAGAACTCACTGCCTGCCAGGGATCTTCCATAGTGGGTTATGAAAGTGCTCAAAAAGCAACTGAATTAACAGAAGAAAAGCTGTTCAAGGGCTGTTGAAGATGCTCAACCTATAGCTCAGGACATCTGTAACATCCAAATACATTCACTGCTCAGGCAGAGAGCTCAGTACGTGCCGTGTTTCATATTCTTTTCCCTCTGTCATTGCTGCTGTCCAACACACCAGCACTGGAGTATCCAAATTTCTGGCTAAAGCCAGTGCAGCCATTGTACAGCTCTTACTGCATCCAACACCCAAGACACCCAAAGTGAACAAATACACAGTTTATACAAAAAAAGTTTTACTAAAACTGGGCACTTGTTCATTATTCTCCAGCACAGCTAAACAAAACAGATTCCTAATTATTACTCCTAAACCCTGCTGTTTGCAGTCACAATTTACAATCCAGTATTATCAATTTATCTGAAACATCTTTACCCCCACCCCATCTACCATTTATCTGCAGACCCAGAAAAAATAAAAGGAAAGCAGAGCTTCCCTTTTCCAGGCATAACTTGATTCAGTGTTCTGTTTTTAAAAGGTATGTAATTATCCACCATGAAACTAAGAGGTGAACACTGCAAGTAGCTGTTCTGTTCAAAAACAAACCAAGGCACCAGGCAAAAATAAGTGTTTCTGCATTTGCGAATCATTTTGTAATTATCATTATTTATTGCACTAAGGAACAGCAGGGCAGCTTCACAATCCCACTTTCTGCTTTGAAAAGGTCTGTAGTACTATTCAAGAGAAATTTCACACGTGTCCTGGTTTCAGCTGGGATAGAGTTAATTTTCTTCCCAGTAGCTGGTGCAGTGCTGTTTGGGCTTTAGTCTGAGAACAATGCTGACAACACACCGATGTTTCAATTGTTGCTTAGCATTTACACCAATCAAGGACTTTTCAGTCTCATGCTCTGACACTGATGGGCACAAGAAGCCAGAAGGAAGCAGAGACAGGACACCTGACCCAAACTAGTCATGCCTAGTATAGAAACAGTGGGGAGTCACCCGGAAGGGACCAATCACTGCTCAGGTCAGGCTGAGCAATTAGATTGTACACCACTTGCGTTTTCTGAGGTTTTGTTTCTTCTCTATTATTGTTATTATTGTTGGTATTTTTTCTGTTATCACTATTTTTTATTTTAGTTATTGTTCTTATCTCTACCCATGGGGGTTACAACTCTTTTGATTCTCCTCCCCATCCTGCTCAGGGGAGGGGGAAAGGTGGAGTGAGCGAGCAGCTGCCTGGTGCTGAGTTACTGGATGGGTTAAAACCATAATGAAAAATTACTCAAAGAGTAACTCAAGAGTATTTTCATCATTGGACTCAATAAATGTTGCAGATTTGTCCATTTGTTAATAAGACAGCACACACATTAACAAAAACAACCGTCATTTAAATTCATTCCTTTGTGGACAATTCAACTTCTATCACAGTGACAGACAGTCGAGATTAAAGCAAGGTTAACGTTTGGAGAAAATACAGAACTCTCTGAATCATGCATATACAGGGAAAATTAACCAGATAGAAAACAAAACCCAAAATGAACCAAAATAGAACTCTTACTTTTGCAATTGTGTCCATGAATTCATCTCCTAAAACTGACATCGCCTACAGGTAAAGCACAGACAGCAATTCCAGTCCTTCCCAAGCCCTCAGCACCTACAGCTGATTTACAGTTAGAGTGGGATACACAAGTCCAGATGAGCTACTACAAAGCCCAGCCTAAAAGAGACCCCTAGTGTGCTAAGGCTAGTCAGTAACCGATACCTATGTGGAGATTAGGGCTGTTCCTTGTGGAGTGCAAAGTCAAAACTTTTCAAACCCAGTAACCTTTGTATTAATTTACATACAATTCATTCATTTCAGTGTCCCAGTAAAATAAGAAAACAGTCTTTCCACAAGTATAAAATGTGGAAATGTTTTAAAAAGAGGGGTCATTGTTTTCTAACGCAAATGCGATCATCAGATTTCATATTTAACCTTGGTAAGAGGTTCTTGTTGTAAAGAATCCATGTTTTGTGGCTTTTGCATGCACTTAACTGGAAGGAAGCTTGCTGAATGCCTTCTTAAGAGCTCACCAGAACATAAATCATGCTGGAAAATAAAATAAAAATATTACAATGCATCATTTTCATTAGTGTTATACATTTAATTCTACATATGTATCCTATATTCTAAGGCGCAGACCTGTGAGAGGTACAGGGATTGTGACTGCAGGCTTTACACAAAACACATCAGAGGGGCATTATAAAGTACAATTGTCACTAGAGCAAGTGACACGCTAACAGGGAGCCTGTATAATCACAATGCTGATGTGCTAAAAGCCACAACTGTTGCAGCCATGTTGCAGGAAGCCCAGCGTGCCCAGAGGAAGGGCTGCACGCTGCTTCTGTGTCACACCATCCTAATGACAAGCTTGCTTTGGCTCAGAGGAAGAACTGGGAGGAAGAACCAGGCAGCAGCACTGGCTTTTGTGCCTCTCACCCCTGTTAACCCTCGGAATGACTCTTCTACCTTTGACTTCAACAAAGATCATATTTACATCAATATAACTACTTATTCTATAAATAGTCTTAATGCAAACAGGGGGGGATTATATTATGCTAAAAGAAGAAGAAAAGCTTGGAGCTTTCCAGCCTCCAGTCATGGTATACATATTCAAAACAGTAATTCTGGCCAAGTTAAGACTTACGGTTTAAAACATAATAAATGGTGATTGTGGATTCTTTTTCAGGGAAGTTGGCGCTATATATGTTCCTATATACAAAATCTTTCTTGTGCAACAAGACAAAATGTCAAATTGAAAATCAGATGGGAGACAGAGGAAAAACAAAACTTACCCATACAGGTAGTAAAAAAATGATAGAAGGTAGAATGCTAATTTGCACCATCCTTCTTTCTGGCAATAGGCTAATATATCTGCATTCATGATTGTTGTAGGATCATACAGACCAGGGCCACTCATCACGGGTCTACTCATGTATCTGAAAGCAAAGCGCAGTTAGTTTTGTGGTGACGGTGATGGGAATCACTGTCTCCAGCCCACTCCCGGCCCCCTCCCCAAGTACTAGCAGAATCAGGACACGGAAACACATCCCTCAGAAAAGCCCATCAGCTCCATGTAGGAGATGGCAAACTGCAAGAGCGATACAAAGCTCCAAACTGAACCTGCCTATGGAAGAGCTCTCACAGGCTCACCTCACCATGACAGCTCACCTCAGCCTTAAACCATGATGAGCTCTGGTACACCAAAAGGAAGTAGGACAAATTCAGAAACAAATGAAAAACGGGATTCCTTATAAAAGCGTCGGAGAAGCTCCAGAAGAGACCAACATACAACGCTGTGTAACCAACAGCCTTTCCTCATTAAAGAACACATGCTGGCTGCCATGCTGAAGGAATAGTCACACAGACCAGTACAAAATGAGCCCAAAAATGTAGTTTAACATAGGCTACTAGTGAAAGGAACAGTCCTACCTCCACCTCTCCAACCCCTCCTCTCACCAGGACTGGCACAGATATTGCTGCAAAGTGGAAGCTGTTTGGCTGGGTTACAAGTCACCCAGACCAGCTACCTCCTGCAGCTCCCTGCACAGGCCTAATACCAGCTAATACAGACATTATACCTAATACATGGAGAGGTGGAGCCCATGTCTCAGTGGCGGGAGGAAAGCGGGATTGTGGCTGCTGCCGGCAAGCCACAGTGTGAAACCGCAGTAGTGTATCCCTCTGACATGGCAGCTACCTCCAACCACCCACAACACAACTCCATTCCTGCATAGCACGAGAGAGTAAAACCCAAAAGTGACAACAGAGAAAGCAAAGTGATGGTTCTTATAACCATGGCCTAAACTTCCTCAATGCCCTACCAGAAAGCATCTTTATTTGCCAAAGACACAGAACACTGAACAGGAAGCACTGCAACAGGAGAATGAGTAACAATGAACGTGAGTACAGATGCCAGACTCGTCAATATTACCTCCAAATATGATAAGCCAGCAAAGGCATATTGAGACCCAGCGTAAGCCACTCTGCTGCACAGAGAAACATAACACAGAAGAATGCATGGATGAGGTACTCTGGAAGTACAAGCTGGAAAAGAAAAATATGAGTTAGGAAGTCTCAATTACTCAAAGCAAAATGCATGGGGTTTAATCTATTAAAATACTACTCAAAAACAATGCTAACAAGATTGCAGAAAGTGAAAACAACAACTAGCAGTGTGTGCCTTGCTGTTTTCACATGGTAATTCATGAACCATGAAGGAAAATTTACAAAACTAAACGCTCAGACCAATTTTTTTTATTCCTTCTATTAATTTAAGTGCACCATTAACAGGTTTTGTGCTTTGTACGTGACCTTCACAACAGAAGAGTTCATAGAGATATTTCTGCTCATGCAACAGTGAAATATCAGTAGGAAACATGCTCCGTAGAACGGTTTATAGGCAAAAAGATGTTTTGGTTTTCCCTGTTTTGCAGCTTTGCTTTGGTATTCACTCAAACATCACTTTCCAAAGTCAAACTACTGCCGGGATGTAGCCCCTCAGGCAGAGCTTCACACACAAGAGCAGTGGTAACAGCGCCTGCGGCGCACAAGGAGGGCTCGACAGCAGCCACACACATAGTTTGTTGACCAGTTTCATTTTCCTTCCCCAGTGTGCATGCTCTCCGGCATCATGCTTCCCAAGCAGAAGCCCACAGAGCTGTCAGTTTACTATGAAATCACGGGAAACGTGAAATTCCAGGTAGTCTTAGTGCTATTAATAGGAATCATATGGAGAGATACAAAGATTAAACACATGCAAAGAGCCAGCAGAAGCCCATACCCAGCACAAGAGTAAGCTCTTCTAAAACAAGTCACCCCAGAGTGATACGGGTTACTCCTTCACCATGTAGCTCAGAAAAGAGGAAATCTGTACAATTCTGACTTCTCAACTCAGGACACTAAAACATCTCCTCATGAAAAACAGAATCATAGAATAGTTAGGGTTGGAAAGGACCTTAAGATCAAGTTCCAACCGCCTGCCACAGGCAGGAACACCCCACACTAAACCATGTCACCCAAGGCTCTGTCCAGCCTGGCCTTGAACACTTCCAGGGATGAAGCTGTCACCACTTCTTTTGGCAACCCATTCCAGTGCCTCACCACCCTCATAGTAAAGAACTTCTTCCTTATATCCAATCTAAACTTCCCCTGTTTAAGTTTTAACCCGTTACCCCTTGTCCTATCACTACAGTCCCTAACGAAGAGTCCCTCCCCCGCATCCTTAAGGTACTAGAACGCTGCTATGAGGTCTCCACGCAGCCTTCTCTTCTCCAGGCTGAACAGCCCCAACTTTCTCAGCCTGTCTTCATATGGGAGGTGCTCCAGTCCCCTGATCATCCTTGCGGCCCTCCTCTGGACTTGTTCCAACAGCTCCATGTCCTTTTTATGTTGAGGACACCAGAACTCCACTTCTACCCAAAGACTTCAGTTGTCTACATTTCAGTGGTTTAACAGTTTGCTCATTCTCTCAGTCTGCTTTAAACCCCCCAAAATATCTTCCTAGACATATAAAACCTACCATCAGACATTCTCACACTGCTGCTACAACATTCTGCTTCTCTAAATGAAGACTACCACACAGAGCAAACTTGAATCAACATCAACAAAAAGAAGCTGTCACACAGGAAACGTTTCAAGTAAATATTTTCACCCAGATCCTTCTTTGTATACTCACCATTTACAATTTGGCATTTACATATCCAAAACACAATGCACTTGGCAGCCTCCTAAGGCAGATTTACCAGGTTGGAAAATCCGTAGTTTATTTTAACTACACATCTCAAAACAGGTTTTTTCTTTCTCTTGTTTCTTAGAGCCTACTCCCACACCACAGTACCTGCCTCTCAAACGCACTGCACCTGATCCTCCCTGGCTATCCTAAAGAAAAATTAACTACATGAAATTCCACCATGATATTTATTTCAGAAGCGAGGGAGGAAGAAATCTCCTTGCTGTGAAGAGACACAACTACAACCAGAGCAGGGAAGAGAGCATCAGCGGCATACTGAGCAGTTACTATTTTGGGCTGATCTTTCCACTGAGGCGCCTCCATTCCTACCAGGATTTTTGATTCTTTGCAGAGGCAAACAACACTTCAGTGTGTTTGTCCAGCACCATTTACCGGATCCCAAGAGTCTGGAACTTAACTTCACTTTTAGTGGCTACTCTACTTTCACAAGAACAGCAAATATGAAGTTATTTAGTATTTTCAGTTCACAAAGCTATCAGATAAATAAACACTACATGCATGTGGGTTAACAGAAGGTTAATATTTGTGTTAAACATGCACATTATAATACTTCAGAGGTTGCAATAAGATTATAATGCATAAATGTAATGAGAATTTGCCTTTCCCCATACTGTAGCAGGGATGACCGTAGAACAGATCAAGCAAGGGAAACTGTTAGATGCACAACCATCAAGCGGCAAATCTCACCCTCTGAGATGCAATCCTCTGCCTGCCACCTCTTCTCCTCCCCACCCATTCTCATGCTGCAATACTCACTGGCAATTGATGTTTAACGCTTGGGTTTTCTGCCCCAAACTACTGCAAATTCATTTTTCATTTGCGTAATTTACTTAACTCTTCAGAACACAACCCAGGCCACACTGCTATGCTGTCCCTATATTCTACCTCAGCCCGGGCACACCAAGCTGAAAACCCATGAGGAATGTACAAAAACCCAGCTGTATCAAACAACACGCTCTTTAACAAGCATCCCTCTTATTATCAGCCTGTTACAGACGCAAGCAGATAGTTTGCCTCTAATTCTTTTCATAAACCAAGGAGTGTCGGGAGTTGTACCCAAGAGAGGACAACAACAAGATACACCCCTGATCCTGGACAAAGAAGTGAAGATAACACCTACCAGGCTGCATCCCCTAAATCCTCTGAGATCAGAATATATTTGGGCAATGCTTAAAAAAACAAATAGCCTCCTATAATCTCAGAGTTCAGTAAGTCTTGAAAAACACTAGTTATGTCTACCTCAAGTTACTTCAGCTGACCAAGAGGATATCTAACTGGCATGTAACAGTTTTCCCCACTTCACTGGGTAAGCAAGCAAATCATTTTGCACAAAATATGGAAATCCATGGAGTTGCTATAAACCCCGACAAACAAAGAGTGAGCAGATGAACAGGCACACTAAACAAAACAGCTTAATAGTACTACAAACGTTCCTAACAAAATGAAAGGGAAGTGGCATTAAGAACATTAAACTGAAAAGCAGTACACACCTTTAATGCAATTTTGACTCTTTTAATCTTTTTGACCTTTTCAACTGTCTTTGTGCCGAAAACGTAGAAAGCAGATTGAAAGAATGTTAGTAGAGGACAGCTGACAAGATCACCAGCAGATTAACAACAGTCAGAATATTCAACTTGAAAGTAAAGAATCAGACAAAGAAGTTTCCATAGAACTTCTATCAAACAGCCAGGTTTTGTCAACCCAGGTGCAATTCTATTGCCTAGTTTGATTACATCAAACACCAAAAACAAGCACTTGCATATATTTATTAACAAAACCCCCAAATTTATAGCATGCTACTCACAGGATTGAGTGTATTACATTGGTCTATGGGATTCTTGTAATCAGTCTTCAGTTCATCAAACGCTATAATCTAGAAAAAAGTAACAATGAAACAGTTGTGATTCTTCCGTCCAGGAGCAACAATGCGTTTTAACCATGAAAAAGTAACGTTTTGGCACAGAGCAGTAACATCCACCCAGAACACTGCTTCTGCCAAGTTCTAACTTCGTAAACGCGCAGGTCAGACACGTTTAAAACTGGTTATACAAATGAGAAAGCAGAAGACACTTCAGGTGTTCAAAGCCCTCTGCCCACACCCCACTTTCCTGCCTCCCACCAGCAAGGAATTCCCAACATCCCTCCCAGCAGCTCCTAACCCCCCACTCCCTGCGCACAGACCCATTCCATGCACCCACCCCAAACATCACCAGTGACTCTCTTGGTAACCTGAACTAAGAAAAGTCAGCAGCAATCTTAACAGCAGACAGATGGTTTGTCTTATTGTCAAAGTAAATGCTGACTCCACATATATGTGCAAAAGGTGCATCCATAAAGAAACCACACAGACTCGAGCTTTTCATGTCATAAAAGTGAGACAAAGGTGCAGCATGAAATACAGCAAAAGCCACTCTATGGAAGATATGTCTTGCCAGGCATTATGTCCTCTTCTAGAGAAATATCTCACAGCTGACCCTAGGTAGGTTCCTATTTGCTCAGCTCTCAAAAATTAAGTCTCAGTATAAAGCACAAAAAAACCCCACATCACACAACATGGAATTCATTATTTTTTGTTAAATAAGCAGCCAGACTGACTTCAGACTGACATCTTCATAAGAATCACGGAATGGTTTGGGTTGGAAGGGACCTCAAAGCTTATCCAGTTCCAACCCCCTGCCATGGGCAGGGACACCTTCCACTAGACCAGGTTGCTCCAAGCCCCATTCAGCCTGGCCCAGAATATTCCCAAGCATGGGGCAGCCACAGCTTCTCTGGGCAACCTGTGCCAGGGCCTCAGCACCCTCACTGGGAAGAACTTCTGCCTAATGTCTAATCTAAATACACTCTGTTTTAAAAAAACAGCTCGTATTTAAAACACCGCTCATTTAAACGGCTGTATCTTCTATGAGCGCTCCAAAATCCACGTTATCCGCAGACGAGCACTGCCAGGTTTCTCCCTCTTCAGGCCAAGTATGACGCCGCTGCCTCAGCCCCAGCTCTTGATGGGGCTGTGCCTACCGGCCTCGCCGCTCCGGAGCTTCCACTGGGCCCCTTCCCCCGGGTAGGCAGGAGATCCCTGTCTGATCCCCAGAAGCTTCCAGCCCACACGCTGTGGCTCAGGGGGGCTTCTCACCGGAGAGCCCTGCGTGACACACCTCGGCCCTGCCGGCCGCGGCTTCACATTCAGCTCCAGCCGGGCTGTGTGCTCCGAAGGCGGCCTCGGCTGTGCCCTCCTCCCACCCTTCTCCGTGCTATCCTCGGTCCTTAATTGCCGCCGGCCCGGCACACAGAGGGGTAAAGCACGTCCCGCCGCAAGAGCGGACACGGGCCGCCCCTTCAGGCGGACTGACGGGCACCATGCCGGCCTGCGCCGGCCCCCCAGGGAGAGCAGCCTGCCGAGCGCCCAGGGACCCCACCCGGAAGGGCCGCACTCCGCACCCGCAGGACCCGCTGTCGGGCCGGCTCGGCGGCCGTCCCCTCAGGCGGGGCGGCGGGAAGGGAGTGGGAGAGCGGCGCCTCAGGCCGCGGGGAAAGGCCGGCGGAAAGAGCGAGCCGCCCGGCCCGCACTCACATGCCAGATGGCGAAGAAGATGAGCGCGGCGGTGAGCAGCAGCGCCAGCATGTAGCAGAAGGCGGCGAACGTAAAGGCCATGGCGGCGGGGCCGGGCGAACCGCGGCGGGCTGCGAGCAGCGCAGGGAGAGCCGGGAGCGGGCATTCACCGCCGGGAGGGGCCGCCAGCCACGCCCCACGGGAGCGCCCTCTGCCGGGGACCGCCGGCACCGCCGCCGTAGCCTTGGGGAGTGACCCGCGGGGCCCCGGGTGAGCACGGACCTGCCCCTCGGCAGGGCAGAACGTGGCGCGGGGTAAAGAGCGGGAGGCGGCAGTGACCGAGGGGGTTGCTGGCTCCTGTGAGGGGAGGAGGGAAGTGCGTACCCCTGAGGAGCGGTGTCACTGGGGCATACAGCCCCTCATCGGTACCGCCTGGAGCCTGCCGGGAGGAAATGGATAGTGATTAAGGTAGATTTCACATCGATTCCTGCATAGGCTTAATCTCGATACAAGGCAGAAGTTCTTCCCTATGAGGGTGGTGAAGCACTGGCACAGGGTGCCCAGAGAAGCTGTGGCTGCCTCATCCCTGGCAGTGTTCAAGTCCAGGTTGGACACAGGGTCTTGGAGCAACCTGGTCTAGTGGAAGGTGTCCCTGCTCATGGCAGGGGGGTTGAACTGGATGAGCTTTACGGTCCCTTCCAACCCAAACCGTTCTGTGACTCTGCGATTTTCCTTCTGCAGGGCCAGATAAAAGTAATTTCAGCTTTAAGTAGGGATATCTCATGGTAACTGACAATCTGGGTAATTGCTGCAGCCATTCCCTCCAGACAAACAACAGTAGTAATGGGGGTTGGCCTGCATGACCTTTGAAGGTCCTTTCCAACCCAAACTATTCTATGAGTTCCATAAAACTAATAGCTGCCAAATAATATTTTCCAGTGACATCTGCCAGAAAGCTTTACACACAGTAATTGACTGTCACAAGGAGAGATGAGCAGAAGCTTTATGTCCTTCACCAAAATAAGAGGGAAAAGTGTAGCAAACGAGTTGTCTTTGGGAAATCAGTTGTTGCGAACATAAAATTGATCTTTCAGCATAAAATCACTTACCCACAAACTACTCCCATAAAACCTCCATGGTGTCATTATGAACTTCAACTGAAACCTAGAAGAGACCTGAAAATTAACCTTAGTGAATATTAGTTAAAAGGTAAGAAAGTAAAGGAGATGTGGCTCTGGCAGTGCATCACAGCCACCCTCCAACAGTCCTTATCCCTTGCTCCTGAGGAATGAGTTAGAAACAACAGGAGACCAAAGCCTTCCTCTGCAATAAGCTATTTTTGTACAGACAACTTACCAAATGTTTCATTAGAATGTATTTATTAGCATAGCTCATTTCCTACCTCGAGAAGACTCCAGATGCATAGAACACTTATTTCCAAGCCCATCTGACAGGACTCTGCTGGAAGACCTAATATTCTGTCGCCAAACTCCTGTTTTCAGGCTGTTCCTAAGCAGTCCAAGGAGGGTCATTTGCATCAGAAGAGCTGTGGCATGTACAGAAGATGAAGATGTGTGTAAACATCCTGCTATAACTTGGAATTGGGTAGTGCTGCTTTTCAATCGCAATATGGAAACCAGCAGTTTGATCCATTGGAGGTAGATACCCAGTTACAAAGGCACCCAGATGTAGTGATCATCACTGCCTGAACTGTTACACCTAGAGCCTCGCTGACAAGCCAAAGCCCTGTAGAATTACAGGTGTTTTGGCACTAAGCCTTTTAATACAGCTCAAGAAAGAGACCTGGCTCCCCACAAGACCCATAAGAAGCCACCAGGTTCACGTGTAACACAGGAATTTGTCCTTCAAGACACATAAATGTGCAGTAAGGACTCCACACAGGCTTAGGCCAAGCCAGTGTTCATGTAAGACCTGGGCAGGCCAGCACCACACTGTCAGCAGCTGTTTGAACACACAAGTCATTGCAGCAGTAAGATTTCCTTCCCAGCACTCCAGCTGGTTGGTTTGGACTGGGATGCATGATCTGAATTAGCTGAAACAGGGGAAAGAAAAGGGAAACGATCTGTGCTGTACCTGAATAAGCAATGGGGTTTCATTCAGCATTCTTTTACAACAGAACATTGTGCAACAGGGATATGTAGTACCAGAAATAACAAGGTGTGTCAGCCATGTACTTGCATTTGCAATTAATATTGGTTCTGCCTCAAGGAATGTGACATTTTATTGGCTCTGATGCTTGCATGCCATTCAACTGCAATTATCTTGTCAGGAGAAATGGAATGCAGCTGTAATCTCATGCAACACAGATCTGTTCATTGAAGGATTTCTTGTGTTATAGATTGTCTTTTTAAGATAACACAAAAGGAAATTAAAAGTAATTTCTATAGAAAAGGGTCTAATCAATTCTCGTTCATTTATTTAGGATCTTAAACAATGTTTCTCAAATCCAATCAAATAAAATCAAATAAATCAACCAAAATGAGTACTTGGATTAAACTTTGTAAACAATGTAAGGAAGACACAGATCTGGAAGACACAGAGATCTGGCGATGGCCTACAGCCTTTAAGGCACTGTCCTTTTATCCTGGATTCACTGAGTTTAATCCTGATTGGAATCCCAAGGGAAAATGTCAGTGTCTGTTCACTTCATCTTAAATCCCTCTCAAGTATTTTTCCTTGTCACAAAACAGTCATATCATCAGTCATAACTCAGCACGTTTTTTTAGGTGAAGAAGACTCTGGCAGGTCGTGACAGCAGTGCTCTGGCAGAGAGCTGCGAGAAAAGGTTACAGAGCAATATGTCTGAAATAGCATGGTAGAAATGCCTGGGTTAATGACATCTGTTGACATCAAAAATAATATCCCTGCAAAACAGTCATTTTAGTTGCAAGTATCGGGGAAGAATCTAATACTGTTGAACTCAGTAATAAAATTCCTGCTGATTTCAGTACAGATTTCACTTCCTGGGTGTTCAGGAGAGGAAAATCTGAGTGTTTACCTGCAATCCAGTAGAGACTCCAAGTACCTCTGACATATTGTGGCAGAGGTCACCTTTCTGCACACCTTTTTGATACACGTCAGAAGCAGCAATGCCATCTCCGCACCTGCTTACCTCACATTTGCGCCAACAGACAGCAGGGTAGAAGATGGTGGTTCACTGATCAATCCTTAGCAGAGTGAAAAGATCCCTGGACTTGCAAGCTTCCTTCCCAAACCAGCAAGTATCCTTCCCTGTTGCACTTAATAACTCATCTTTGGAATCCCTGGTTAGACTCTACCATTATGTATGCGACCACGTAAACAAACCGATGTTACGAATTCATTTCCAGGTGAAAGTGAGTCTCAAGGGAAATCAGAATTACATTTAAAAGTCAATTTCAGAACACAGACACTGCCAGGCATCTCGCCACATCTCATTATGGAATCCACTTGTGGCCTCAATCCCTCTGACATTTACTGTCACATGGCAACAGTTTTCTTTTAATACTGAATACTCATCCTGTTCTTTTAATAATAACAGGGTTTGTTTTTCTCTTGCTGTGCTGTTGATGCCTATCTGTACAATTCTGAGCTCATGGCATAATAACCAGCCTGTGATCAGGCAAGAGGACCAATAATTGTTTTTTCAAGAACTATTTTAGAATGCATTTCAGGATGTGGCTGCTCATTAGCAAATTAAGAAGGGGATTTTCCAAGACATTCTGTGTTCTCCTGTAGCAGTGATGACTCTGAAAATGCCACCCTTAGTGTCTAACTCTTCAAAGAACAACTTTAAATTCCAATCCAAATATAAACCAGTGCAGCGGTGTCAGCCTGAATAAACAGAAGATGAAGCCATAGTAGTGGTGTTTTAAGATGGCATCATGTTTGGTACTGAGTGACACCTAAAAAGGTCTCCCTCGTTAATTATCTCATTGTTAATCGTTTTTGCAGAAACCCCATCACTGCTGGAGATGGTGGGAATATTGCATCAAGGTACTCACTGGGACAAATGAGGCATTCAGTCCTCTGCCAGACATAACATCATTATTGTTTCTGCCCAAAAGGAGGGATGATACATGCAACTTCTGCTTTGTATCATAAAACCCATGAGCTGTTCAGGGATTGGTGTCTTGTCAACAGCCAGAAGAGACAGCCCAGTTACCACATGTCCTGTCTTCAGCTGTAGCAGTTATTTTTCTCCTTCCTCATAGTTGGTGCAGTGCTGTGTTTTTTACTTTAGCCTCAGAATAGTGCTGATAACACACCAATGTTTTAGTTGTTGCTAAGTAATGCTTACCCCAATCAAGGACTTTTCAGTCTCTCATGCTCTGCCAATGAAGAGGTGCACAAGAAGCCAGGAGGGAGCAGAGATAGAACACCTGACCCAAACTAGCCAAAGGGGTAATCCACATCACAGCACATCATGCCCAGTATAGAAACTGGGGGGAGCTACCTGGAAGGGACAGATCACTGCTCAGGTCCGGCTGGGTATCAGTCAGTGGGTGGTGAGCAGTTGTATTGTGCATCACTTGTGTTTATTGTTTTATTTTCCTTTTCCCCTTTTAGTTTTGTACTCTCTGCCCTTCATCATTATTATTATTGACGGCAGTAGTAGTGGTTTTTCATTATACCTTAGTTACTGGACTGTTCTTATCTCAACCCATGGGGTTCAGTTCTCCTCCACATCCTTCTGGGAGTGCAGGGGAAGAAAGGGGGGAGTGAACAAGTGGCTGCGTGGTTCAGAGTTACCAGCTGGGCTTAAACCATGACACCACAACCTCAGGCTTCCCCAAGCTGCTCTTTTGGTCCCAGCTGGTCTGCAGCATGCTTAAAGATTTGTGAGGGAGAATAAAGAGTCAACACAGGATGCAGTTGGCTTTGGTCTCCTTGTTCTGCCATAGACAGCCCATGTGGCTTTGAGTCTGGCGTCTTCAGGCCCAATGTATATTTACACACTTAAATCACAGTAAATAGTATTTTAAAAGGCTTCATCTGCATCTGAATTCCTTATAAATCTTGCTTTTTATTTCTCCAGCCATAGCCGTATTATCAAATCATCTCACAGCTCTGTCAGTGCTAGAAATCCACCTCCTTGGTTGTTCTTAAGATTCAAATCCTGCCATGTATTGGGGCTCTATGTCTGCATGAGTTCTCACATCAGTAACCACATGCAGAGGGAGCAGTAGGGATGGCTGGCTCAC